AAGGCCGCATGAGATGAAACAGTACGGATTTGGGAGGGGAGCTTTCTCTATAGTTTGTAACACAGACAAAAAGGAAAGTTTTTTCTAAACAAGGTTTGACATGTTGACAATGAGAGCAAAATCTAGAGTTGCGAAAATTTCACAAGGTGTCGGAGAAAAAATTCTAGTCTACTGTCAGCCATGTAAGCTTGTTGGTAGATTAGGCAACGCAGAAGGTCTATTTTCGACCCATGAAGGATCCGGCCTAAGAGGTAGGGCAGGCGATATAGCAGGGTGGATGACGCCAGAAACGAGGACTCATTAAGCTAGCGCCGCACATCCTTTACGGCAGTTCTGCATGCTTGTGAGTACTGTCAGGCAAATTCAAGGCTAGATTCAAGAACAAATGTTACAAACTGATTAAATATAGTCTATAAACTGGTTCACTGTGAAAAGATCGGCGAATGAAAGCACTTGCGGGCTTTAGCCACTTTGTACCTGCATGTTGGGAAAACTGAACGCTAAAGTCTCTCACTCAGGGAAGAAGAGATTTTGAGAGTACACTAAGTATAAGCTTCCCGGGAGCAGTTTGGTATACATGTGATAGAGCTTGTTATTTTGAACGGCGAAAGGAAGACAGGGGTTAGAGGACCAGAGGTATTAGAAATTTAGAGCGAGCTAAATTTTAGCAAAAGTACAAACAGTAACTTGCCTCAACTGTGTAAGTTATTCTAATAGCACCAGTGAAAATTAAAACAGATCCATGAGTGACGTTATTGACGGTGTAGCAAGACAGTATGGTTCCAAGCACGCTACCCTGAATAACTCCGATGGTGATGGGAATTTTAATGTGAATAAATCCTGGGTTCTCCCAGTGACGTTAAAAACGAGCCAACGCAGCAGCTGTACATCACTCCCCGTAGATCGTAATTCGTTGTGGAGTGCACTGTGGGGTCTCGTTCAAACACCCTGTGAAAATCAAGGCGGACAAGATTACTGCAGAACCCGGCATTGTATTCGGACGAAACAGAAAAAAAATCAACCTGGCATATGTAAGTTGACCGCCGTGCCATAAACCCATACTACCGATGGTTAAGGGTCTTTTTGGTGAGCAGGCCATCCATGACAGGTATTTCGATAAATCGCTCTAGCGTACGGGGCGGCAACAAGGTATGGTGAATACATGAGACCCACTTGAGTAGTTAGTAGACCTGACTTATGGCGTGGAACAATGGTGGAGTGCTTTCAGCGACCAGGAAGGGCGTCAGTAAAAACATGGACATCGGAGAGAATGAGGATGAGGCTGTGGATGTCTAGGACATCCGCTTTTAGGACGAGTGAGGAAATACCATCGGAGCCTGGGAAACCAGAGACTCTAAGGCGGTCCGGTGGGTGGAGCCTAATCGGGTAAATTAATTAAGAATGTGTAGAGGGCGGAGGTTGTCTCTTCTATAGACGTGGTCACTACGGAGCCAGGTGGGTAGAAGGGGTTGATGCTAGGAAACATAGTGGCTAGCGAGGTAGGGGTATAGGGGTTCCACGATATCAGCAGGAT